GTCTTGCAGACAACTTTATCTCCCAGAAAGTGGAGGTAGGAACCAGAAGATCTGCTATTATGGATTTAATCCTAACAGGGAAGAACTGGTTGATGAAGTGAACGCTGTGGAATCCTTGGGGAATAGTGACCATGTCAGCTTGGAATTTGACATAGAGAAGGATGTGAAACCAGGACATAGTAGGACTTGTATCCTGGACTTCAAGAAAGCTGATTTCAAAAAAATAAGAGAAATATTAGGTAGGATCCTGTGGCTGGAAATGCTAAGGGGGAAATCTGCACAGGAAGGATGGGAGATGCTGAAAAATGAAGTGCTTAAGGCACAATCGCAAACTGTCCCGGTAAGAAAGAAAGGTGGGACACAGGTAATGAAGCCGAGGTGGCTGAACAAGGAACTCTCTGAAGAGCTGAGAATAAAAAGGGAAATGTACAGGAAATGAAAGGAGAGACAAATTACTGAGAGTGAGTACAAGAAGCAGGCTCGAATCTGTAGGGATGGTGTCAAAAAGGCTAAAGCGCAGGTGGAGCTGAGGCTTGCGAGGGATGCTAAAAATAACAAGAAAGGTTTCTTTGCCTATGTTTGGAGCAAAAATAACAGGGATGGGGTAAGCTCATTGCTAGGGGAAGACGGTCAAGCCTTAACAAGGGATGAAGACAAAGCGGAATTACTTCTCTCCCTTTGTGTCGGTCTTTAACCGTAAGGTGAACTGTATACAAACTGAAGAATGCGGGGCATATGAAGGAAGGAGGAACTGCCAGTCCAGAGTAAGTAAGGAGATGGTTAGAGAGCCTCTAGCTGCCTTAAATACTTTCAAATCTCCAGGGCCAGATGGCTTGCATCCCAGGGTGCTAAAAGAAATTGCAGATGTTATTTCAGAGCCTCTGGCTCTAATCTTTGTGATGTCCTGGAGTACTCATGTTGTTCCAGAAGATTGGAGAAGAGCGAATGTTGTCCTGATCTTCAAGAAGGGGGAAAAACGGACCTGGGAAATTACAGGCCTTTCAGTTTGACATCAATACCTGGAAAAATTCTAGCGCAGATTATTAAACGCTCTGTCTGTGAACACCTTGAACGGAATGAGTTAATTGGTAGTAGCCAGCATGGGTTTATCAAGAATAAGTCATGCCAGACCAACATTATCTCTTTTTTTTACAGAGTTACTACCCTGGTTGACTCTGGCAATGCTGTGGACATAGTGCATCTAGATTTCAGTAAAGCATTTGACAAAGTTTCAGTAAAGCATTTGACAAAGAATAAGCTGGTTAAATGTGGGCTGGATAGTGCAACCATTAGATGGATTCATGGTTGGTTGAAAAATCGTACACAACGAATGCTCGTAAATGGCTCTGCGTCTACATGGAGGGAAGTCTCGAGTGGAGTGCTGCAGGGCTCAGTCCTAGGCCCGGTGTTCAGTGGTTTTCTGAATGACCTGGAGGAAGACATAGAGGGGATGCTTATCAAATTTGCAGATGACACAAAGTTAGGTGGGATTGCTAATTCTGAAGAAGACAGAATCAGGATACAAAATGATCTAGATAGGCTGGAACAGTGGGCTGAGACAAATAAAATGAATTTCAATAGAGATAAGTGCAAAGTCCTACACTTAGGTACAAAAATCAAAGGCACAGATATAGAATGGGAGGGACATGGCTTGACAGCAGCACATGTGAAAGGGATCTACGTGTTCTGGTTGATCACAAGCTAAACATGAGCCTGCAGTGCGATGTGGCTGTGAAGAAAGCTAATGCAATCTTAGGATGCATTAACACAAGCATTGCATCCAGATCATGGGAGGTGGTAGTTCCACTCTGTTCTGCTATGGTCAGGCCTCACCTGGAGTACTGTGTCTAGTTTGGGGCACCACATTTTAGCAAGGATGTTGACAAGCTTGAGCATGTCCAGAAGAGGGCAACCAGGATGGTGAGAGGGTTGGAATCCGAGTCTTATGAGGAAAGGCAGAAAGAGTTGGGTATGTTTAGCCTGGGAAAGAGAAGGCTTAGAGGGGACATGATAGCAGTCTTCAAGTATTTGAAGGGCTGTCATGTAGAAAATGGAGTAGATCTATTCTCTCTTGCTCCAGATTGCAAGACTAGATCTAATGGGTGGAAAATACAAGGGAGTCGTTACCGGCTAAATATCAGGAGAAACTTCCTAACTGTAAGAGTGGTTGAGCAGTGGAACAGACTGCCTTGGGCGGTGGTGGATGCTCCTTTGCTGGACATTTTCAAGCGGAGGC